CCTTTCTTGTCTCACCCTTCCTTCAGCTATGTCTGTTGTCCCTGAAGTACCCATAATATGAGAAACAATGGCAGGTAGTACTACAAGGTGGGGTGGAAGTCTGGGTGTCTGATTACCAATGGGACAAACTTAACTTTCAATCAGTGTTTCGTTCTTGGGAGCCTGTTCCTGTGCCAAACTCCTGCCTTCAGAGGTACCAAATGCTTCCAGTTCTGGAGCCTTTCCATAAGCAAAAAGATAGATAAATAAAATAGAATCTACTTCTCTCTCTCTCTTTTTTTTTTGAGACAATCTCACTCTGTCACCTGGGCTAGAGTGCCAGAGCATCAGCCTAGTTCACAGCAACCTCAAACTCCTGGGCTCAAGCAATCCTCCTGCCTCAGCCTCCCAGGTAGCTGGACTATGGCAGTGCCTCCATGCCCGCTAATTTTCTATTTTTAGTGGAGACAGGGTCTCTCCTCTTGCAGGCTGGTTCAAACTCCTGAGCTCAAGCAATCCTTCCACCTTGCCCCAGAGTGCTTAGATTAACCTGAGAAAACAGGGGTATTAAATAAAAATCTGCATACTAATAGTGATATTCAAACCCCTTTCCCCCCATGCTCTGCTCTGCTTCCAGATGTTGGCAAACAAGATTCTATTCCCAGGCTGAAAACTGGAAGAATGCTCTTATTACTAAACTAAGCCTAAAAGAAAAGTTGTAAACATACTGGCCTTTAGGTGTTTGTAGCCATTGAAAGCCTTATTATCTTAGAGTAAAACCCACACAGTCCACAAGTACAATCATGCACACACATAACTTCCAAATAGTTTCTTAGTGACTGACTCCGAAGTATGAATAAACAGCCAACAATTGTCTGGCATGTAAGGAAAGATGCTCACGTGAAAAAGAGAAACCAGAGCAAACAAGCAGGAAAATAAAAATTTTGAAATAATCAAGGGCAATGCAATAAGGTGAAGAAAAGTTAAAAGAGAGAGGATACTGAATTCATGAAATAAGAGCAAGATACCAAAATTCAGAGAATAAGAAAGAGCTCTTGAAAACTAAAAATATAACAGAAATAAAAGATTCAATTAGTTGGGAGGTAATGTTGAGGATGTCTCTAAGAAAGCAAAACAGAACAACAACAACAAAAAAAACAGAAAAATCATGAAACTAGGAAAAAAAAATTTTTACATAAGAGAATCATCTCAGGAGTTCTAACATCCATTAATAAGAGTTCCATAAAGAGCTAAAGCAGATAAAATGAACAGGAAAGACATTATTAAATAATAAATAGCATGCAACTCATGCTAGAACTGGAGACACAGAGTCCAGGAGTGCTGACTTGGAGGTAATGAAACATAGATTTGCTATGTGTTCAACTCAATTGAGAGGAGTTTTAGAAATCTCAGAGATTGTTTGGAAATACATTAACGCTACGAAAATAAAAAACCAAGTACAAAATCAAATTAGGCAATTTTCATGGTGGGAAGTTGTATGAGAAAGAAAATGTAATTATAGTTCACTATATTGCTTTGTTGTAGAAGACTTTTATGATGACATAATAAGTAACATTGAATATATATTTGACCCAAACTTGGCAAGTTTGAGAGGAATGGAGGCAAAGTGGGGGTAGTATAATTGATGGGGGTAGTATAAAGCTCCATCTTCCATGGTAGAATGTCACATCAATAGGTTATGTCTCAAATTGGAAAGCCAAGAAACAGCAGTATAAATGTGTAATTAGAAATACAGAGTTTAAAACCAGAGGCTGGGCGTGGTGGCTCACACCTGTAATCCTAACATTCTGGGATGCCAAGGTGGGAGGATCACTTGAGGTCAGGAGTTCCAAGACGAGCCTGAGTGAGAGCAAGACCCCATCTCTACTAAAAATAGAAAAAATTAGCCAGGCGTGGTGGTGCCTGCCTATAATCTGAGGCAGGAGGATTGTTTGAGTCCAGTTTGAGGTTGCTTTGAGCTTGGCTGATGCAAGAGCACTCTAGTCCAGGTGACAGAGCAAGACTCAATCTCAAAAAACAAAGCAAAGCCGGGCGTGGTGGCTCACGCCTGTAATCCTAGCACTCTGGGAGGCCAAGGCGGGCGGATTGCTCGAGGTCAAGAGTTCGAAACCAGCCTGAGCAAGACTATAAATAGAAAGAAATTAATTGGCCAACTAATATATATATATATATATATAAATTAGCCGGGCGTGGTGGCGCATGCCTGTAGTCCCAGCTACTCGGGAGGCTGAGGCAGAAGGATTGCTTGAGCCCAGGAGTTTGAGGTTGCTGTGAGCTAGGCTGACGCCACGGCACTCACTCTAGCCTGGGCAACAAAGTGAAACTCTGTCTAAAAAAAAAAAAAAAAAAAAAGCTTAACGAGTTGAAAGTAAATACCTATACAGAATAGGGACCAGAGGATGGGAAGTGGTGGAACAGAGGCCTGTGCAATTCCTCACAAGCTTCATAGCACTATTTTACTTTAACTATATGCATGGGTTATTTTGATAAAAAATTAATTTGAAAACTAGTAATAAAAATTTACTCTGAAAATTTTGAGCAATACAGAATGTATTATGAAAAATTAAGTTTCTCCACATGGCCCAAGGTGACACATCCTCTCTAGGTATAAAGATTCTGGTGTGTTTGCTTCCAGCATTTTCCTCTGCACTCACAGATGCTCATCTAAGTAAAAGCAGCAGCTCAGGGGTAAGTAGTTGTAATGGTCAACTTTATGTGTTACCTTGGCTAGACCATGGTACCCATAAATTTGGCTAAACACTACTGTAGATATTTCTGCAAAGGCGTTTTCTTTTAGATGAGATTAACATTTAAATTAGTAGACATTGAGTAAAGCAGATTACCCTACCTAACGTAGATGAATCTCATCCAATCAATTGAAGGCCTGGAATGAAGAGGGAATTCTATCTCCAAACTGTTTTGAAATCCAACTGCAAATCTTCCCTTGGTCTCCATCCTGCCAATAAACCCAGCAGATGTTTAACTTGTCAGTCATATCATGTAAGTCAGCTTCTTAAATCTCTCTATCTCTTTCCCCCACCCCTCTCCCTCTCTTTCTCTCTCTGTGTACATATACATAAACCCCATTGGTTCTCTTTCTCTGGACACTGATATATAGTAGTGTTTAAGGACATGCCAAGAATGGACTCAAAGGTTGAGAGGAATGAGTCTGAACTAGGTAATAAGGGATATGCTTTAAAGAAATCCTTAGAAAATGGAAAAATCAACCTGTTAGGTGTTTTCCGTGATTGGAGTTCAGAGAAATGCCTAAGTCTCATTAATATGAGGCATGTTTTTATGAAAGATTTAAACTTTAATAGTAATTTGAGAGATGACATACTGGTGGTTATTTTCACATTAATGCAGCTGCAATTCTTTTTTCAATCAAGCCAAAGATTTAAGAAAAATTTTGGAGAGAAGCTGAAATAATAGAAAGTAATAAGGAATCAGAGTAACTTGCTTTCAACTCCCCACTCTGCCCTGAACTTGCTGTATTGTCTTGGCCAGGTTATTTCATTTCTCTAATCTTGTGTTCCCACATCTATAAAAATGGCATAATTATACCTCTCTCATATGGTTATGGAGATAATTAAATAAGAGGATGTATGTGAATGTAAAACCCACATTATGTTGAGCAAGGAGTCATTAAAGAGTAATGAATATTAGTTGCTTCTAGGGAGCAGTTTAAAGGACACCAGGCCTTAAGTGACTCTTCCTGACACGGAGAGTTTAATATCTCTCTCATCACCACCGGGGAGATGGGGAGACGGGAAAAGGGCGAGGGGAAAGAACAAGCACTGATTACCCAGAAATAAAACAACTGCCACTTAGAAAGAAAATGTAGATGGAGTGTTCAAGTTAGTGAGGCAGAGAATTCCAGGTATAGAAAAAAAAGTGGAGGATTATAATTGTTATATTTGTCATTTGTCATTGTATGTGTAATGAGGTTAAATTTTCATTAGGATTTTAGTAGCCGGCACCAGAATTTTCCTTAGGAAGAGAACTGGCTTTGTTCAGGAATGCCTTGATTGTTCACTCTTGCCCAACTTGGGGTAGAGCTGGGATGTTAGCAGGAAACAGGACATCAGAGAAAGCAGAGGCTGCTCTGCAGGAGATGAAGGGAGGGGGTTCTTGTTTCCTAGTTTGCTTTTCCCCTCTGGAAAAAAGGGGCAAAAATGAGTAAAGGTCAAAGAAAAGGAGGGAAGGAGAGAAACCAGCAAGATAGAGAAGAAGCCTAGGAGGAGGTGAGTTGAAAAATCAGTGAATCCTCAGGTGGTAGAGTAGCCAAAAAGTGAGATGCCCGATACACTGGACTCTTGTTACAGGTGACTAAGCTTGTGGATGCTAAGAGGGCCTCTCATCTGTGCGTTGGTACTTTTATCCTCAGGAGCATATATTTTGAAGACCGCAGGACAGTAGGTATTGCATGAACCTGAACCTACCAGTTTTCAATGAATTCATTTTTCCAACTTTATTTCTTATTCCTTCTCAATGCACATATTCTCTTACAACTATATTTAAGCACATCATATATCAAATGGACTTTTTCATTATCATCAGAATTATTTCGACTATCTGCTTTCATTTCCTGCTCCCTCATACAAGGTTCAGGTCAAATGACCCCTTCTTCCAGGAAGCCCCCTCTTGATTATTCTAGCTTAGCACGGTGTCCCCCACCCTATATCTTTAGGATAAATGTGTCATTAATATGATGACTTATCCTTATTTTTTCATATGACTATCTTATAGTTCTCAAAGGAGTCTCTAGACTATTTCAGGAAAGGGGCTGGTAAATTTAGTAAAAGTAACTGAAAATATCAGAGAGTTTCATTGCTTAGTATTGTAGAGACAAATGACAATGAAGTTGCCTGAGTTTTTCAACTTTTCAGCTACATGTTTTAAGCAGAATTATTCATGATAATAAAATCTGGTTAATTCTTTGATATTTTATACTATTTTATGCCACAATGCTTTGGCTAATGCTCACAAATTAATCTTCATCAAAATCACAAACTATAATACATTTAATTTTGTGAGGATAGGACTCAGGCTCCAGCAGTGAGCAGAGCATATCTTCTGTGCTTATTTGTCAAGTGCTCAGTGAAGTGTCTCTTTAAAAGACTCCTTCTTAGCACTAAGTATAGCTTCCTGGCACCAGAGGTTTTTGACTGAGAGTCTTCAATCAACATCTCACCCCTTTAACCACATGGAATGAATCAAATTATTTTATTGATCTCTCTATAAATATAAAAAAATGGAATTTTAGAGCCATAAAGCTGTCTCCAGAAACCCTTTGTAACAGAGGTAAAGGTCAGAAAAAGGGCAAGGAAATATTTTAGGAGTTGTCTCTCTAAAATACACCCTTTTAGGGACTTAAAAACCTGCCTTACTTCCCTGAGGCCAGTAGCCAAAGGAGCAGGAAAATATTCTTTGCTGTTTGTTTTCTAGTATCTTAAACCACAGGAGGTGGCTCCACAGAATTGTCTGGAGGAGGGTCAGGAGCCCAGGGACCACCTGTCACCATCACCGGAGATAAGGTCTACCAAAACCACCAATTATATTAACAGTTAAACAACAATAGCAGGAAGCCACAACCTGTGATACTGACCTGAGCCCAACCACTGAAAACCACCCTCTTTTATAAAGCCCCGTATTTCTGCTTAAAGGGCGGATGGCAGTCTTTGAGATACTAGTCCACTGCCCTCCTCATTTGCTGGTAAATTAATAAACTCTTTCCTTTTCCTCAAACCACTTGTCCTTGTTCTTTATTCTCATTGATTAGGCCTTGGGGACAAGTACTGAACTTGTGGTAACAACTTTGTTCTGTTCTTAGTTGGTCATTTTCTGTTTCATACTGTTTAAGAAATCAGAGTGACCATGGCCTGCTATGCTGACTATGGGACATATTTTTGCTTCCATTTCGTTGATTGTATATTATACTGGGGTGGCCTCGCACAGCACTATAATAGAGCACTCCATGGAAGAAATATTCTTGGCTCTGTTAAAAATCATTGATGATTACAACTATAGAAATTAAAAAAACAATAAAACCATAAAAATTAAGCACCAGTGTTTTGTGGCACATGAAATACCCCTCTCACACATTTTTACCCCATACATTTTTAACCAGCAAGAGGCATCATTTTAGGAGGCTGTCACTACAATAGGTATGTTGACTGCAACAGTCATTGTTAGCAAATAAAATGAGGACTTTCTACTTTGTGTGTCCCTATCTCAGAATAAATAGAAGAAAAATGAACAATATGTGGTTATAGAGAAACTATTTCAAAGGGCCTGTTCTTGCTTGTATCTCTGCTGTTGAATACCACTGTATTGCAACAGCACCCTGTCTACATTTTGATCAGTTGTTTCAACGATTAATGTGTATGAAAATCACAGCAGATATTTAGTAAAAGATTCCTGGGTCACTTTGCAATAATTTCTTTTAGAGTAGATTTGGAGTGGGGCCCAGGTACCTGTATATTAACTATCAATTCAAATGACGTGTTCTTGGACTACGCTTCAAGAAACACTGCTTTGAATCTTGTACAACATAGGCTCTATGTGCTCTGTGATGGGAAATGGAAATAATGATAAGTTTCCCCCCAACATTGTTCAGGACCTGAGCCAATCTGTGCTCTAAGGGGCAGTTAATCATATCTGAAGCAGCACACTGAACTGCTTAATACTGGAAGGACTTTGTATATAAAAGTTCCCAGTAAGGAAGGTTCAATATAGGAAGGGATTGTGAATGGCAGTTGGTTCAGTATAGGAATGTTTGATATTTGGTTTCAAGGCCTATCATCAAGCTTATAATTATCAAAATAGCAAAAAACCCCAGTGCTGTATTTGGAGTGATTCAATTATGTGCCTAAGTTTCTCTTTAATTACATATTCAACATTTGATGCAAATTGAGAAAGTATGACTGGGAAGCTTGGTACAGACATTGAGTTCTTATAATAATTATTAATTTATTTGGCATAGTTCTACTCAGTTGATGAGTTTGTTTTCTAGAATTGGGGCATGGTGTTAGCAGCATCCTTGCTAAGTGTGGCTTATGTTCCCATTTACCATGATGCTATAACAAAAGGCCACTGGCTTGGCAATGAGAGGAGTCCTGAGCTTGAATCCTGGTTCTGTCACTTTAGCTTTGTAACCCTGGGCAAATTACTTAGTCTCAAATAAAGTCTTACGTATTGGGGTTTCCATAGGAATCAAATAAATCACAATATGGAGACCACCAGTCACAGTAGTAGTGAGTTCGCTCTCTCTCTTGTTCTTACTTCCCTCCTTAGTAATATTTCTTCTCTTGATTGATATAGTGAGTCACCCAAAGCAACAGATTTAGGGTCATTTTTTAAAAATCCAACCCCCTTGTTCACATTTCTTATCCAATTAGTCACCAGTGTATCAACTCTGTTCCTAAAAATCTCGCTAGCTGCCATCTACTCTATCAGGCCTCTATACTTGATGTATCCTTTAACTGGAATGTCCTTCCCCTCCATTTCTCCACAGGCAAGAGAGTGATGTTTCAGGCTCTCAAAATGTCACAAAGCTTTTGATTATTCAGTGCTGCACAGACTTTCCCAGGTTAACGAGGAAGATGAGTGACACACAGTGCTACAGTCAAGACTGTGACCCGGTGTACCTTGGTTACTCTCTATGGTTGCATTCCTGCTTCATCTGGATGGCTGGCTGCTATAGGAGCTAAGGAGTGACCTTTTAACGAGAGCTCCTAGTGGAGTCCTGAAGAGGGTTCCCATCCTTAATGTATATGATCATTACCGGCTCCTGCTTTCTTATTTATGTCTCACAAGGCTCCTAAGACCACCTGTGTAAAAAAGAAGAAAACCCACTACTAGCTTACCCCTCAGGAAAGATGAATGAATCTCTCTTTTTACAGACACTATAGGGCACATACAGTAGAGTAATTGTTTCAATTTGACTAAAAGGAGTTTTGTATGAGTATGCTTTAATTAAGGGAATCAAGATTCAAAGAATACTTATGTTAATTAGAAATGTGAATACCTAACTAAGAAAAAAAAAAAAAAACCAAGAGACATTTTCAGAGAAAAAGTTTTCTCTAAAAGCAGAAAAAAACTAAATGATGTATTTTAAGAGTGAATAACATTTCAAATGATTTACCTTAAAGTGTAGCTACCCTACCTTCTTATCTTGGCTTATTCAAATGATTTCTGAAAACTAAACCCCAAAAACAACATATTAGGAAACTAATAAACATTTATGAAATAAATATCTGTTTTAAATGGTGAACCTAGATACTAAAGAGTAAAATTATGTAAAATATAAAGTAAAGCAGGAAGAATTTTGTTGCCTTATTCTTCCTGCTGCCTATTCCCAGAACTAAGTTTTGAAGGCTTGATGTCAACTATCGAGAGCACAGTTATAAAACCAGCAGTGATAAACTTAGAACTAGTAGAAAAAGAAAAGTAGCATGCTTGAAGTCCAGGGATAGATGCATTATATATGGTCCAGGAAATCTATTCTCCAAAGAATAAATATATTTAGGATTTAACAGTGATTAACAGATTTCTTCAAACATTTGCCAAACACAAGGCAGTTTCACAAGGTTATTACAAGAATGTGTTCTAGGATTCAGGCAGAGGCATGCTGTTTCTGCGACATCGTGACAGGGAGACACAAGTTACCTGACTGCTTTAATCTTTTATCTTTTGCAGTTTTGTTTTTTTTAAGTTGATCTGTAGTTAGAAATGCTTATGCCAAATAAAGAAATAGCCAGATATGACAAGGTGTAATAGTTTCAGTTAATCATGAGATTAAAGAAAGTGAAAGAACTAGGCTAGATCTGTGAAAAATGATGTTGATATTTTAATAAGGATTACATTGAATCTGCAGATCACTTTGGGTAGTATAGACATATTAATAATGTTGATTCTGCTGATCCATGAGCCTTGTCATGTTTTCCACCTGTTTATGTCCTCTACTATTTCCTTCCTCGGTGTTTCATAGTTCTCCCTGTAGAGGTGTTTTACCTCCTTAGTTAAATAAATTCCAAGGTATTTTATTTTCTTTGTTGCTATTGTGAAAGGTATGGAGTCTTTGATTTGGTCCTCAGTTTGACTGTTGTTGGCGTACAGGAATGGTACTGATTTCTGTACATTGATTTTATAACCTTAGACTTTGCTGAATTTAGTCAATTCCAGTAGTCTCATGGCAGAATCTTTGACGTTTTCTAGATATAAGATCATATCGTCAGCAAATAGTGACAGTTTGACCTTTTCTGCCCCCATTTGGATGCCCTTGATTTCCTTCTCTTATCTGATTGCTCTGGCTAGGACTTCCAGCACTATGGTGAATAGAAGCAGTGATAGAGGGCAACCTTGTCTGGTTCCATTTCTAAATGGGAATGCTTTCAATTTTTCCCTGTCCAGTATGATATTGGCTGTGGGTTTGTCATATAGGTCTTTATCATTTTGAGGTAAGTCTTGTCTATGCCTGTTTTGTTAAGTGTTCTTATCATAAAAGGGTGCTGAATTTTGTCAAATGCTTTTTCGGTATCTATTGAGAGGATCATATGGTAATTGTTTTTTACTTCTATTTATGTGGTGAATCACATTTGTGGATTTGTGTATATTGAACCATCTCTGCATATCTGCGATGAAGCCCACTTGGTAATGACGAACTATTTTTTTGATAAGCACCTAAATTCAGTTTGCTAGGATTTTATTGAGAATTTTTCTATCTATATTTATAAGGGATAATAGTCTGGAGTAATTCAAGTCTTTGTGTGGAAGCAGAGAAGACCCTCATGTAGCAAAAGCCACCTTAAGTAAAAAGAACAAATTGGGAGACATCAATTTACTGGTCTTTAAGCTATACTACTAGGCTATAGTAACCAAAACAGCATCGTGCTGGCATAAGAACTGAGACATAGACAAATGGAACAGAACTGAGGACCTAGATATAAAACAATCCTCATATAGCCATCTACTCTTTGGCAAAGCAGACAAAACATACACCAGGAAAAGAACCTTATTCAATAAGTGGTGCTGGGAAAATTGAATAGAAACATGTAGAAGGTTGAAACAGGATTCACACCTCTCACAAAAATCAACTACAATGGATAACAGACTTAAACCTAAGGCATGAAACCATAAAAATTCTAGAAGAAAATGTTAGAAAACTCTTACAGACATTGGCTTAGGGAAAAGATTTTATGAAAAAACCCAAAGGCAACTGCAGCAACAACATAAATATATAAATGGGACCTAATCAAATTAAAAGCTTTTACACAGCTAAGGAAACTATCACAAGAGAAAATAGACAACCTACAGAATGGGATAAAATATTCACATGCTACACATCTGATAAAGGGCTGATAACTAGAATCTATATAGATCTTAGGAAAATCAATAAGAAAAAAATCAAATGACCCCATTAAAAAGTGGGCAAAGAACATGAACAGAAATTTCCAAAAGAAGACAGACTAATAATAGCCAACAAACACATGAAAAATGTTCAAGATCTCTAATAATCAGGGAAATACAAATCAAAACCATAATGAGATATCACTTATCTCCCGTGTGAATGGCTTTTGTCAAAAAGTCCCCAAACAACAAATGTTGGTGTGGATGCAGAGATAGGAACACTCTTACAGTGCTGGTAGGACTGCAAATTAGTTCAACCTCTATGGAAATTAATATAGAGATACCTCAAGGAATTCAAAGTAGACCTACCATTTGATCCAGCAATCCCAGTATTGGGTATTTACCGAAAGGAAAAAAAGACATTCTATGAAAAAGACATCCACACTCAAATGTTCATAGCAGCACAATTCACAATTGCAAACATGTGGAAACAACCCAAGTGCTCATCAATACATGAGTGGATTAATAAAATGTGGTATATATATACCATGGAGTACTACTCAGCCATAAAAAAGGATGAACTAATACCCCTTGTACTATTCTGGATGGACCTGGAGCCCATTATTCTAAGTGAAGTAACACAAGAATGGAAAAACAAGCACCATATGTACTCACCATAAAATTGGTACTAATTGATCAACACTTATGTGCACATATGGAAGTAACATTCATAGGGCACTGGGCAAGTGGGAGAGGGTAGGAGAGGATGGGTAAATTCACACCTAATGGGTACGGTGCATGATGTCTGAGGGTTGGGCACACTTGTAGCTCCAACTTGGGTGGTGCAAAGGCAATATATGTAACCAAAGCATTTGTACCCCAGTATATTCTGAAATTTTAAAAACAGTGAGATTATCTAAAAAATTGGTTTCCTTTTCTGAAAATAAAGAATATAAGGAACTGTTTGAGATATGTTTTTTACAACCAATATCTCATTTGATCCTTACAGCAATCCTATGAAATAAGTACTGTTGCTATTTGCATTTGTAAATGAAAAACATAAACCACAGAGTGAAGCAGTTTGCCCAAAGTTAAACAGATAGCACGGGGTGGAGGGCCCATGCTGTTAACTGTCACACTAGTATGCCAAGTCTTACTGTCAACAGTTTCACCTCATCAAATTTTGTCTTTTTCTCATAAACTAGAAAAAAAAACCAACAAAATCTTGCTAAAAGGTTGAAGGTATTATAACTATCAAATCATTCTTCCTCTTCACAGAAAAAATTTAATTAATCCAATTAAGTGGATTATGCCATAAAAAATACTATAAGAAGAAAGGAATTAGATGATTAGATGCAAATGGGGGAGCGAGGGAAGTGGTTGTAAGATCTAAAACAAAGCTGTATTACTAAAAATAAAAAGAGTCTGAAACTGTACAGATGGCCCAAGATATTAATAGTATGAAGTAAGGCCTGGTTAACATATCTTTTTATTTTAAACTCGTAAAACTCTTATATATTTTATATCTAAAACCTCAAAGAAATAGCATCAATACTAAATGTAGAAATAAATTTGCTTCTATGTATTTCCTGATGTCACACTTTAAGACAGAATTAACACTTCTATAGTCAAAAATCCCTTTCTCTTCTCCCACAGGAAATTATGTCAGGGAGTGAGAGACACCTGGCTAGCTGGGCAGAGGATCCAGAACATGGAGAGGTAGGACACAAGAGGGAGGGAGAGAATTCTTAGGACTGGCTGGGTTAAGAACCATAAGGAAAATTCTTAGGACTGGCTGGGTTAAGAACCATAAGGAACAACTCGCAAAATGACTTCAGAAACAGTGAATACAGTGTGTCCAGGTAGCCCCTTCGGTAATAGGCTCTGTGAGGTTTAAGTTTACCAGGAGAAGAAACAAAACTGAAAGCCTGCAGCCAGTGGGTTCTCTAGGCTATGCTTGAAGTCAGTCAGAGAAAGTCAAAGCAGCCACATTTTTTTTTCATTTAACAACTTGTTTTATTTACTTTAAAATGTCTATAAGCAACTATGATGCAATTTTCATTTTGTGCCAGGTATATATATATTTTTAAATATAATATGATCCCACAATAGAAGAGCTATATGTTTAATCATTAAAACAACTTTACTTCACTTACATATTTTCATCAACAATAAAATTTACTGATATATTCTTCTTGCATTCGCCCTCAGTCCAATGACAGCTTTAAAAAATACCAAGCTATTTTAAACCTCAAAAATTTTATTAGTAGGTATATTAAATATTATTAGTATTTCTAAGTATCTCCATATTGCTTTCCACAGAGGTTGTACTAGTTTGCAGTCCCACCAGCAGTGGATGAGTGTTCCTATCACTTTTTGGGACTTTTTGATAAAAGTCATTCTCACTGGAGATAAGTGATATCTCACTGTGGTTTTGATTTGCATTTCCCTGATGATTAGGGATGTTGAGCATTTTTCCATATGTTTGTTATCCATTAGTCTATTTTCTTTTGAAAAGTTTCTGTTCATGTCCTTTGCCCACTTTTTGATAGGGTTGTTTGATTTTTTCTTGTTGATTTTCCTGAGTTCTATATAGATTCTAGTTATCAGCCCTTTATCGGATATGTAACATGCAAATATTTTCTCCCATTCTGTAGGTTGTATGTTTGCTCTACTGATAGTTTCCTTGGCTGTGCAGAAGCTTTTTAATTTGACCAGGTCCCATTTATTTATTTTTGTTGTTGCTGTGATTGCCTTTGAGGGGATGGACACACTTGAAGCTCTCACTCAGGTGGGACAAGGGCAATATACCTAACCTAAATATTTGTACCCCCATAATATGCTGAAGTATAAAAGAAAAAAAATACTTCTGAGTATAAAGATAAGGGAAAAAGACACAGTTAACTTGAATACCAATAGATGGTAGTATGTGTAGATAAACAGCAGGTCAATTTTCACTGAAAATGAAACCTTTACAATAATATTAATTTCTCATGTTCAAACCATTTTTGCATATCTAAAAGTTTGTGAAATGCATATCCATTCATTCATTTATCTCCCTTTTTCTGTGTGTAAATTTCCTTCAGGGCTACAAGTTCTTGGTCCTGCTTTAACTTCAGCAGAGGGCCACGCTCAATCATGAAGTCTATGTCTGCTTGAATCTTTGCATTCGCTTCTTCTGTGTCTTTTCTTCCTCAAAATGTTTTAGTTGATTAACTTTATTTTCAAGATGCCATGGTAATTCTATAAAATCTCTTAAATAAGCCTCGTGTTCTTTCTGCACAGCTGACGGGAGTTCTTCAAGTTTCCAGATTGACCAAGAGTCAATTTTTGTGTTAAGCAGTGTCTTTCTTGATCTTTTGTCTTAAGCAGTGTCTCTCTTGATCTTGTTTCCTTAAAGCTTCTTCAGCTTCTGCCCGGTCAGTTTCTAGACTTTTAATGAGATGGATGGCATCTGATACTAATGTTTCCATTTCCAAAGCAGCCACATTTTAAGGGGAGGAATATGGCAGTTTGGAGGTTCCCAAGCAATCACTTCTCCTTTATTTGAACTGGAGGAAGAAATTTGGGGGACTGAGGCACTAAATAACTATTAATACATATTCTCTATGGAAATAATTCATGTAACATATAAGCATTGAGAAATATTTAATAGTAAATAGCTAATAAGTATTTATTGAGCTACTACAAATTAGACAATATGCTGGGCCTTGGAGATGCAATGAAGAATAAGAAGCCTTGGTCCTTGTGCTCCTGGGCTTCAGAAGTCCAGGCAGGAAAGATACAATCAAATGATCACACACATGAGGAAATGCTCTAATTACATACTGAGGTGATTGCTATTAGGCAAAAAGCCTGGTTATAACATATTACAAAGGAAATCAGCTTCAGTGGGTTGATGAGTTGGAGGAGGTTTCCCATTTAAAAATATTTTTTCGTGACACACAATGTGTAACTAAACTGTTAACATGGAAAGTTATCTAAGAAATTCATCTACTATAGTAGATAACCTAGAGGTTTATATAGTGTGGAAGGAAAAGAAATGTGCTTTGGATAAGATCTGTTCAGAATAACATTGCTAAGTAGACCAGCCTCTAACAAGCAATATTTGGTGAATCCTATTATTGTAGTTTTTATGTAGTACAAGTTGTTATGCTGTTATAAAACCAACGTCGCTTAGCTATTTCCAATTGTAACACCCAGCGGTGTCATGGAATACTTTATTAGTTCTCTTACAAATCTCCAAGGAGGAAGCTAATATTGTTAAATGCATGTCCACTGAAAGAAATTTTATAAATCACAGAGCTCAAATACAGTAGCTTTATATTAATGAAAGGAGAAAAACTGACTTTAAAAATGAAAAATATTTCCATATTTAACATGTTTATTTTTAAACACAATATTTAACGTATTAACTGAGCAAAAGTAATTTTGGTTAATCCTCAACTGAGGAGGGATTGTTCTTCAGAACAGTGTATTGAAGGTCAAGGAATGGAAACCGATATTTCTCGATAATAATAATACTGATAATAATACATTCAAAGACATTGAAGAAGAGAGAATTGATAAAAAGGTAACAGCTAATTGGAAACAAAAATCTGAGTTTTTTATTTTTAAAAAAAAAAAAAAAGTTTAAAATGCCTGTTTGCAGTAATAAAACTGAAGTGTCATCTCACCAACTTATTTGAAGTTGAAATTCGTAGTATTTAGCCCATTGCTTTAAACTTAGGATAATTGGCTTTAAGGATATTTTAACTTTAGGATAAGTCCTTTAACTTAAGGATAAGTTGCTCTAAAAAGATAAGAACTTTAAGAAGTTTTCCTAAGTTGCCTAAGGATGTTTTTTCAATATATTTTCAAGTTCTTAAAATATTTCTATCAAAGTTTTGAAAAGGTTTTGCCGAAGAAAGCCTGCAACATCTAAAACAGCATCATTGCTAACTCTGGCTGCAATTTCCTTAAGGTTGATGGATTCAAACAATGAACACACCCACAGCAGGAAATCAACGATCTAAACGAATTACTGATCGAGTGCCTACTGAATTCAATGCCTACTGAATTTCTTTTCTTTATCTTCCTGATAACCTACAAGCAAGCAATACAAAGCTTGATCTTTCTGCAACCGCGCCCGGGGCTAAGCTTGTACAGAACGACAAGGCAAGACATCTTGAGAGGTTTGGTGCAGGCGACTCCTGGATGGATATTTTTTGGACAAAGAAGCATGACCCAATTTTTCGTGGGTTCATAAGCATGACCAGCTGGGTATTCATGCACATGTGTGAGACGTGCCTCCCTCAAACCTTGTTACGTCGGCACAATACCCGTCTGATGCGAACTTAGGAAAAACCAAAATGAAAAGACTGGGCTCACCTTAGCAGCATGCCAGGAAACACCAAAACTTAGAACTCAAGCACATGTTGGGGGGGGGGGATCAGGCGCTCTGTAGTTGCTCATATGGCTCCGGGTGGGATCTATTGTCCAAAGCATTGCTCCTCCAAGGCTGCCCCTATTTTTAGCAGTTGGAAATGCAAACCTGTGGCCCTCACCTGCTGAAAATCAGAATCTCTGCGATGAGGCCTAGGGATCTGTTTTAGCAAGCTCTCCAGGTGACCTTAATTCTCACTCAAGTGCTAGAACTTTTGGTTTAACACATTGACTGCCACACTAGAAAAAAAAAATTTTTTTCCTTGGGACCACAGTATTTTATTATGAAAACAGAATGAAACTTCAAAATCAAAACGATCCTTTCTAATTTAATGAAAAATGTGTTATTTTTTATTGTTTTCTGCAAATGAGTTCTATGCAACTTGAATAGTTCTCTTGGCTCCCAAGGTGAAGAGATATGAGTTACATAAGCTTCACAAGGTCCTGGGCTCAAAACTAGTATGAGTTAAATACAACATGGCAGTTACTGTGTTAAAAGACCTTGGGTGCAGGGTTATAGGGCTTGCCACAGACAGATGAAGAAGATTAAGTTTGTTCCTCCATAAGAGCAACATGGACATTACCTGGGAGCTTGTTAGAAAGGCACACTTTCCTGCCCAACACCTTAGAGCCAGAGACTACATTTTAGGAAGATCCCCACGGGATTCTTTTACATTCAGGTTGGAAGCAAGAAGGGTGCTGATTTCTGTTCTCTGGGAGGGTATAGCCATGGGGCAATTAGTGCCCTGAAGGGCCTGTCCTCTCAGCAGTAGCTAGGGCACTCTGAACTTCTCTTCACTTTTCCCTACTGAAATCCTCATTTACCTAACAACTTGCTTCAGGCAGCTGCAGGGGAAGCAGAGATTTTTATGAGCAATAAGCTATACTGTATAGTCACTAATAAAACTCAATGTGTTACTAATTCCTATAATATCAGCACTAAAAAGAAATGATTTCGGGAGATGACTATATATATTTTTTCACTTCTATAAAAAGGCTTTTTGATCTCATACCTTTTTAAAATTGATACAATAATTGATACAATTTTTAATTGATACAATAGTCCAACAATTAAACTGAGTATACACCTAGGGGTGGGGATGATTTTGAATGTCCTACATATGTACCAGCACTATATGTACTATATGGGGTACAGTGTGTTATTTTGAAACATGTACACAATGCATGATGATTAAATCAGGGTAGTTAGCATATCCATCACCTCAAATATTTATCATTTCATTGTGTTGAAAACATTCAAAACCCTCTTTCCTAGGTATTTGAAAATATACAATAAACTATAAACTATAGAGCACTAGAATTTATTCCTACTATCTAGCTATAGTTTTATGTTAAGCATCCTCTCCTCATCCTTCCCTGTCCTTTCTAGCCTCTAGTAACTACTACTAAACTACTTCATATTAACTTTTTTAGTTTCCATGTACGAGTGACAACATATGGTATTTATCTTATGCCTGAGCAGTATTCCTTGTTTATATATGCCACATTTTATTTACCTATTCATCTGCTAATGGACACTTAGGTTGAATCCATATTTTGGTTATCACGAATAATGCTGCAGTAAACATGGCAGTGCAGATACCTCTTCAACATACTGATTTCCATTCCTTTGGATATATACTCAGTAGTGGGATTGCCGGATTCTAGGGTAGTTCAGTTTTTAGTTTTTTGAGGAACATCCATACTGTTTTCCATAATGCCTGTCCTAATTTACATTACCACCAACAGTATTACACATATATATGGTGTGTTTGTTACCCTTTCTTTGCATCCTCACCGGCATCCCGTTGTCTTTTTGATAATAGCCGTTCTAATTGGGGTGAGCAGATACTTCATTGTGGTTTTGATTGGCATGTCCCTGATTAGTGATAGTGAGCATTTTTTCATATACTTTTTGGCCATTTGTATGTTTTCTTTTGAGAAATGTCTATTCTAATCATTTGCCCATTTTTAAATCAATTAGTTTTTGCTATTGAATTGCTTGAATTCCTTGAATATTCTGGATATTAATCCTTATTGGATGAATATGGAGATGACTATATTTTAAGCCAAAGAATGATTCTCTAATGGTGAGGTTGTGGGCACAGTGAAAAACTGGTAAATAAAGGTTTGTGGAGGTTGGAGGTTTTTTGTTTAGTTGTTTGAGACAGAGTCTCTCTCTGTCACCTGGGCTAGAGTGCCAGGGCATCAGCCTAGCTCACAGCAACCTCAAACTCCTGGGCTAAAGTGATCTTCCTGCCTCAGCCTCCCAAGTAGCTGGGACTACAGGTACATACCACCACAGCCAGCTAATTGTTTCTTCATTAGTAGAGATGGGGTCTCACTCTTGCTCAGGCTGGCCTTGAACTCCTGGCCTTAAGCAATCCTCCCATCTCAGACTCCCAGAGTGCTAGGATTACAGGTGTGAGCCATTGTGTCCAGCAAGTTTTTCATATTTTACAAATCAGACATGAGGTAGGCTGGTCTGATCTTGGTCTTAGACCTGGATTCCTTTCCTTTATATTTAACAAGAATTGATTGAACAAAGAATTCATCTTCATTTACCTATCTCTTAGATTTGCTTCTACTATCTGATAACTGCAATCCAGTGTAAGCCCAGTACCCTGTGTTACAGCCAGTACCATTTTAGTGATTTTTGAAGGTCCTATATACATCAGCAATTTATAGTACCCTGAAATGTCCTGGAATCACACATCCTACCCCCTCCATCTACCCACACCCAAGTTTGGAGAGCCAGGTCTCCAAATACAATAATTACAGGATGGAGATGATGGTAAGGGAACATACATGGTTTTCAAAGTTTTTTAGCCAATTCTGATACAAATGCCCAACTTCCCCAAATGATAAGCACTATCAGTTGTGAATTATTACTGTCCATGGAAATCTTCATACATAATTCAATGGTGTCCACACTATTATTACTTGAATAAGACATACAAGTTTTCTTTTGTAATATGTAATGTTATCATTTTATACCTCAATTTGATCCACATATAATTTGCTATATACAAGTTCTGAATCTAAACATATCAAGCATGCAAAATCAATAGGTATTTTAATTTTTAATTTTGGCAATCTTTTGGACTTTGCTGCTAACTCTTTTAAAATTACACCACTGAAAATGAAAACACAAATGGAGGATAGCTACATTTATTAAACACTTCATCAATATTTACTAAACACCAACAATGTACTAAATGCTACAGCAAACACCCTGCTGAGATTTAGGCAATCATTTATCTTTACTTGAAATTTATACTGAAGTTTGAAAATCTGACCCTGTACTTCTGCCTTGATTTTTATGATTTAACTGAAACACTGGTAAACAAACCAAGCATAAAGCCCATCTTCGTGTATTACAATTGTTTACAATATAGCTCACTGATACGAATAGCCCTTCTAAGGTTGAGATTGTGGCAAATTTTTACAATACAGACAATAAAGGAGAAACCATTTTTTCTATTTATTATAATTAAACAATATTGCCAGATAAAGGGGAAATTAAATTTACCCACAATCCCGCCACCCTAACCTCTTCTCTGTGTACTCTTTTCATCTTTATCCACAAACATAATTTTTGCATAGTTGTAACCTGTGTACGCATACAATTAGGGTAAATTACTATTTAAATCCTAATATACAGGATTATATAGAGACTTCTCTTTAACCACTTTGGTAGGGCACTCACCAGCCGCGAAACCTTGCCCACAGCCGGCACTCACAGTCCACACGATAGTCTGTGCTGTGCATTGATGACAAGCCCGTTTTGCTCTTGTGTGATGAGGAAAGCTTTAAAGCACCAAAAGCTTGTTTTACTTTACAGGCAGCTTTAGGAAAATAACTATAATAACTCCTACTAAGGACTTGTTAAATGGTCACAGATTCATAGTAACTTATTAGCTGAACATACATACTGCAGCTGTAGAGATAAAAGCTGTAAAAGTAAAAGCTTTTGGCTGTCGACTAAAGTCGACACTTGGCCGTGCGCCTTCATATCACGGCTGTCAACTATGGTCGACGCTAGGCTGTGTGCATTTGTCTATGGCTATTGACTATAGACAATGCTTACACAGAAGTGGTTAAGGAAACCATACAGTGTAAAACCTACAATATGCAATATGTACCATAATTCTCAAATACCTAGGAATTTCAGCCTTCCAGACCAAATTATAACTTCCTTTCTTTCCTTCTCCACTTGAGCAAATGAACTTATGAGGCTCTCATTAGCCTGAGCTCACTATCTCTAAAATAGTACATGTAAAACATTATTATCTTTTTGGTTGTTTAGCACTCTCTTTATGCAGTCAGTGTGAAATCTTAAAATTATGAATAGATGTAGTTTCTAAAATCTGTAAAAAATTTAAAAATTATTGCCAAATATCCTTTCTACAAACGATTTTAATTCTTTTTCCTGTACACAATTCTGTTTTTACATTTTCTGGTATAAACATCCCCATATTAACTTAACCAATTATCTCATTGTTCTTAATTATTATTTCATTCTTGTTGAGTTTATAAGATAGTTAATACAAATGACAGACTTCTCCAAAGGGAATCTGCATCTAAATACACTGCAGATACCAAAGGAGAAGAGTAGGCTCTGAGTTTCCAGAAGTACCAGTCTGGTTCCACTGTACACTGACTATGTGATTGATTTGGGACCACTTTGTCTCCATGAAATTGAGGCTAGTCTACTATAAAATGAAGATCATATTTGCATTCTGTCTCTTCGTGGATATTATGGCCAAAAAAATGAGACTATATATAAATCTTTTGAAATCCTCATACTGGAGGTACTGGATTTTTAAAATAAAAGTTTTACTTGTTATTAATACTCTTTAGGACAAATATCACTTATTACTAATCTGTACTACTAAAACATCTGTATCATTCCAGTTAAAAATTATAAATGAGTTTACCTATCCAATGTGTTCTAAGAACAGGTAGGCTAAAGTTTCATTTAGTGACACACTGACATCTAGTGGATATTTATGGTGTGCTGTGGGATTCAGTATATCCAAAAAAATCCTACCACAGTTCTGGTGGGGGCAGAGAGAAGCAAAAGCACCTTTTGGTTTTTATGCAAAGCATCATGAAAAAGATATAAAAAGATTAAGTAAAGAAGGGTACACTTCCCATATATTTTTGTCAGTTGCATTAGAAACACTAGTCAATTCACAAGCCATAAAAGTTATGAGAAGGCTGCGGTGGGAGTGGTGAAGAGCCGGTCAGTGTTGTGACCTGAGAGATTCCAAAAAACCTCCAATTCAGAATTTAAAAAAGCAAGTAGGTAACTATGTGCTTACCTGGCTTTTTCTTTCTATAGTAAATACAGGCAAGGGTGTAGGAAGGAAAGGCAGAAGGGGGTAAAAAAGGAGGGGAAAAACAAGTCCTTGAATTAATTTTTGTACCTCTTTGTGGTTAGAATTGTATTAATTTCAGAAGGAAAGCTCCTTTAAGCAAATGTATGTGTAAGCTTTTTGGCATGTCACTAAGCATTTATCTAAACCTGTTCACTTAATGTACTGCATTTACTTTGGAATAAAAATATAAAATGTTTCTATTACCCTGAGTTTTCCTAATGCCTAGCACCATCAAGAAAAGGGTGGCTTCTGTACTTCCTTTCTGTCCTTCCACAGATTACAAGAAATAAATGCTAAGTGGCCCCAGGAGGAAGTCAATTTAACACTTGCATATTTTATTTAACATGATTATTTAAATTAGGTAAGATTAACAAATATTCATTGGAAAATTATCACAATCATATCTGCAACAGTACAAATTAAATTTAAAACTGTGTCTCTCCTCCCACTTTAGTGAACCTGGGAAAAACTTGGAGTGCAGATGGTTTATTTTATCTACACCAGCCTACTTCCTTGTTTTCTACTGGGCTTCAACCACTGGATGGAACTTCTTTACACCACTGTTTAATAGCTTCGTTATTCCAGTGAACAGGAAAGGTTGAAGAGAAGGAACTCTGGAAGCTGGAATAAAGAACTTTTTTTTATACTGCTGTATGCTTAGCCTCTGGTTCTGGAAGACCTTTCCACCACACCTCTTCTGGAAAAAAAAAAAAAAAAAAAGAAAGAAAAGAAAGAAAAGTGAAAACACCTTACTGTTGGTCTGGAGGAAACATGGAACTAAAAGAAATCCTCAAGGACTAGAAAATGTGTGCTTTTTCTCTTGAGAAGAATGTGCATGACTCTGTTCCCACCACACTCAGAACAATTCTAAATTCTTTAACTCCTTCATTCTTTCAATTATGTCTGGGAATCAGAAGAATCATCTAGAAATGATTAGATCAGAGCAGTTCTCAAATGTGAAGTCCTAGAAGAATCTTAAGGCAGCCACACTGCTTAATTATAACCAAACATCCTTAAATAAATGTGTATCCATTGTTGATGTTAAATTTTAAAAAAGAAGTATACTCACTTATGTCCTTCTCGGCAATTAATAAACTTCAATCTTCAGAGCCCAGAGACAAAAACAAACAAAAACAACAAAAAAAAAGATGCAATATAACCTATTAGCACAAGCAAAAACAATGTTCTAATAGTGAAGCTTCATGCTGCACTGAAACGTATAATTATCCATACAATTTAAAATTGTATTAAATTTTATGCTTTAAAAAAGTCTTTCCAGATACTTTACACTGCCCATTGTTTTACTACTAAGTAAATTTTCCTATATTTCTGCAATGTTGTTCATCATTTTTAGTTTAATTGCATAATTGAGAAATTCAGGCCCAGAGAAGTAAAAAGAAAAAAATTCCTAACTATAGAGCAAGATAGCAAATAAGAGAGATTTGAAAGCTTAGCTATTCTATTATAGGCTGGTGGTTAGATTAATTAAGCTATTTTAGCTCTAGAATTCAATATCTTAAAGACTCAAAAGTCAGAATTGAAATATCAATTATTACTGGAGTGTTTTACTCTCAAAGAAACTATTGTGATAAATCAGTGACCCCCAATTACTCTTAAGTAATACTAAAATTAAAAGCCGTAATCTCCATATTTCTCTCTTTCAAGAGAAAATGTCAAAATACGTTAGGCTTCAACCCTTGGTAATTAGTTTTCACATGTGTGTAATATATATTTTATTGGATGATGTATTCTATAAATGATTTAGAGATGGTGATTTTAAAGACTCCCAGGCAAGACCCTAACTTTGGAAGTAAGGTTACTGTCCCTACTGTGCAGAATGAGCAGACTCCTGTGATTTTTCAAAGAAGTCACCAGTGTTTTTAGGGGGTGTGTTTGTGTTCTCCTAAATCAGTCTTCTGGTTCCATTTTCCCAGGATATGCTGCTATGTGGTAGACAGGAAATATATTTTCTGGACATGTTCCAAGTTGTAGATGCTAAGAAAGAGATGGCTATTAAAAGATCAGTCCAAGGGCATGTTATGTGAAATGAATCTAGAGATGTGTTCAGAGAACCTGTGCACAGTATATTTAATCTCAGAAAAAGAATTTACAGTAAAATTATAGAATCAATACCAATTTTCCCACCACTAGAATCCATCACCCTTTGTGATCTTGGTTTCCCTGGAAATGTTAAGAAAATAGAGACAAGTCTGACTTACAGAATTGGAGGAAACTTTATTGATCTTTTTATCCTTCCAGCATTATGAGAGCAGGCAATACAATATTTTAACCCAAGCTCAAAGGAGTAAACCTTTTCCAAACTTTAAGTAAGTTGGATGTTTTCTCCATGTAACAGTACCCTCTCCTAAATCAACCATCCTCCTTCTCTACCACCATGATAACCCACAACTCAGACTGCAGGATGGGGGTGCTTTTGCTGTTTCTCTTCAGAGTCCCCACTGGAGTGTTCTTATCTTCTTGTGGGCTTTTGGCATCTTGTGATATTTAACACCCAGTGTTTCCCAAATGAAAACCATAGTTACATAAATCCTACTTTGGAAATCCATGAAGACAAAAAATACATTTCTAGCTAATGACTAAGAAGGCTCTAAAAGCTGCAAGTTAAAGGAATAAGAAACAATTTTTAATTTTAGTTAACAAAATATAGTACTTTAGAGATGGTACTCTCTAAATAAAGACTTTAAAGATACTATTCATTGTAATCTTCTAGCCAGACCTTAAGTAAGACAATGCTGTTTTAGCAAGGTGTCTGAGGAGAGGTTATTAACCAGAGGAATAACATGAAACAGGATATGTGGTGAACATGAGATCTAAAAGCATCCACTCCTTTAAACTTACTTCGAAAGCTTTTGAAAAGCCTCCCTTTTGGCTTAACTAACATTAGCCTAAGAGTTAACTTTGAACCTGGAAAGTTTTGGGCCCATGTTTAAATGTGGCCAAATATAGCAGACTCTTGAACAATGCAGGGGTTAGGGGGACTGCGCCCCACACAGTTGAAAATCCACATATGACTCTCCCAAAACTAACTTACTAGTAGCCTACTGTTCACTGGAACCTTACAGGATAACAAACAGTCCATTAACACAAATAGAATAGTATCTACACATATTTTATGAATTCATGACATATCTTTTTATTTTTTTCACTATTTCTAGGCTATGCAGTTTGCATTTTTTCAAATTGTTGCAAATCTACACAAAATTTTCTGATACATGCATTGAAAGTGATCTACGTGTAAGTGGATCCCTGCAGTCAAACCTGTATTATTCAAAGGTCAACTGTCCTTAATCTTACTAGAAACATATCACTATAATGAAAATAAAAATAAGTGGTACCATATTCCAAACTGATACACAGTACTTATCCAGGGCTTAGGTACTTGCCTATGTCTGTAGTGTCATTTTATGAAGGTGCTTGCTGCTTGCATATAGTTAATATATGAGCTAAAACACTTCCAAATACAGCAAAAAAAAAAAAAAAAAAAGTTGCCCACTCATCATTGAATTATTTTGGACTGAACAGAAGGCTCAATTTCAGCACTGCCAAATGCTCTCAGGCACAGAAGCAATGCACCATCTGTCTTGAAGCACCGAGTATATCAATTCACATTTAAAATACTGGTGTGCCTAGCAAAGTATCTTAAGCAATCCATTTTCTGATGCTTGAATGAAACTTAACATGGCTAGCAACAAGGTTACAAGCATCAATACTTCCACTGCTGGTAGTAAAATAAATTATAAAAATGTCACAGCATTGAAGAGTTGTAGTTCTACGGGCAGAAAGCCTTAAAGAAGAGTCTTTGGATAAAGGAAGTGTTCTCAATGAGTCACTACTGCTGTATCTCTGAGGAAATATTTTTAAGTGATAGAATTGCTGCCACTGACAAGAGTGACTCTGGTATTTCACTACAAAATGAGTGTGGCTGCTGTTGAAATAGATTCCGCTTCATTATGGGAGCACACTAATGTAATGACAGAAAGCTAGGCTTCTAAGGAGTCTGGACTTCATTCAGTAACCACTGAATGTCTTAGTAGCCTAGTGTCCTGATAAAGAGCTTACCCCAGGAAGATTAAATGTGACAGTGGTGTTCACACTACTGAAGTGGATGGGAGTCATTTGTATGTACAAGAGGGTAGCTTTTTAAAAAAGGTTCTTGTAGATAAGTGATAACCAAGAGCCTGAACAGACAGTAGGACCGGAAGAACAGAATCAAGACATCATGTCTTGAAATAAGAAAAGAGGAAAACAACTATCACCCTGTCTATATATGAAGTACTCTAGAATACTGTCATGATTAATTTAACTTATGAAAAAAGAGTCACATCTTCTTTCTTTTTCAGATAAAAAGTACAGTTGGGTTTGAATGTGTAATAACCACCGCAAAGGTACTGTTCTGCAAGACCCAATCAGAAAAAAAGAAATTTTAACATCTTAGTATTTATTAACTCTTTTGACTCTCTAAGCAAAATTAAGTAGCTGAGCCAATTAAAATTCGGGTCTGTCTCAGATGTTTTCACAGAAAAGAAGCAAAGAAAATGCCCCACTTCTTACTTATGGACTTTGGGAAAGAAGAAGTCAGGACAGTAGCAGGGAAAGATAAGTACTGTAGAAAGTATGAGCCTAGGTCATAAGCTGGAACTGCCCCACGGGTTTTCTGGAAATGAAACCTGATCTCCAAATTGCTTACTTCCCAAGTAGTACAGCCCAAAGGGAGAGAAGGCCTAGAACTCAAAGTCTTACCACAAGACCTGGATGGACGACAGGGTAATAGAGACTGGTGTTACTATGCCTTTCTCTGATTAACACATCAATAAAAGAGAATTGGGGTAAAGAACACTCAATTTTCTAGAATCATTTCTTCTAGCCAACTCAGAGAAGTCATATCCCATTATCATCCACCAAGGTGTTTTCAAAGCTCTCTGCACTTACCTCGGACATCTCTCTTCCTAACTAGACTATGATGAGCTTTCTGGGAAACACAGCATAAACATTTTTTGCTTCTGGCATTTAAAGCAGTATTAATTTTCAGCAAATACCCTAAGTTTTCTAGTCAAATTTCGTGTCAAGGTAGATTCGTCAATGACTGAAAAAAATCATCTGAAGGAAAGAAAATATTAAGGCCCTTAATTCAAAGGAACTAATAATTGCTAACCAGAATTGATGAAAAAGAAGAGCCACTCCAGTATAGCTGAGAATTTTAATTGCTCGTTCATTATTAACATGTAACTAAGAAATAAAAGGCTCATCCAGACAGACAACTCATTCATTTACACACTCAGCAAGGACTACTCAGCTGGATACAAAGGGGTCGCACAGACATATGAACTCCCCCCACCCCTACCACCCTCACTTTTAGCCAGTAACATCTGTTCCATGGAGAAACTGAAGCAACCACAGAGCTTCCCACCACCCTACCCTCCAGTCCAGACCTATGTCCTTGTCTGCAAGTTCCTAGCACAGGCTGAACACTTCATTTGTGCTAGGTCCTATCCCTTCCTGCCTACCAGGGGAATTCAAGAATGTGGTGAATGACAATATTGCTTTAAGTGCTAGATGCTGCATTTCCCAACTGTTTCTCAAAAAAGCTTCCACTCTAGTCATGAAGACAGATGTCCAAAGTAGGGAAGAGCTTTGAAAGCACCATGAGATGGTGTAGAAGAGGAATTTTTCATGGACACCGCCCCTTCTTCTCTATATCTGCCATTCCCCCCATCAATGAATGAACATGCCATAACTTTTCTCATCTTCAAAAACACTCCAATTATTCCCCATTTCTCTATACTACCAATATGAAATTGTCAGGAGTCTCCAATTTCTCTCTTCCTTGTTACTTTCTCCAATCTTCCTTGTTACTTATTACTCCAGCAAAACTGTGCTTACAAAAGTCACCAACGACTACCATCCTCGAGTTGCTAAATAAAATGAACATTTTAGTCCTCAACTTGACTTATCAGTAGCATCTGACAGTAGTTCATGCCCACCTCCTTGAAATATGCCACCTTCCTTTTCAGTTCTCACACTCTCCTGGTTTTCCTTCTTTACTGTTTCTTCCTGGGTTTCTTTACTGATTCCTCACCTCAGCTTCTTAAGGCTCACACTGCCTAAGCTGCTTTCTTCTCTAGCAGAACTCATTCCCTTGGTGACCTCAAGGTCTTACAGCTACAAATACCATGTACACACTCCTGAGTCCCAAACGTACACTCCTGGCCCAGAACTCACTCCTGAATTCCAGATTTGTATGTCCACTGTCCTGACACCTCCATTGGGATGTTTCATAGGCATTTTAAATTTAAACCGTCAAAAACTAAGCTCTTAATCTTTCCAATTCTATTCCACCCCCAAGTTTCACACGCTGGGCAATGGCAATTACAGCCTCCTAATTTGCTCAGGCCCTAAACTTTTAACTCCTCCATACCACATATTTAATCTATCAACAAATTTTGTTAGCTCTACCTTCAACCAGAACATGATGATTTCTCACAGCCTGCACTACCACCACCCAGGTTGAAGTCACCAGTATCTCTTACCTGAATTAGTCTCCTAACTGATCTCCCTGCTCCTAATTCCCCACCCAGGTCTTTTCCCTAACAGTAATCAGAGATTCTAATAAAACACAAAATCATATCCTGTCACTCTTTGGCTGAAAAAACCCCCTCCAACAGTGTTCTATCTTATTTAGAATACCAGCCAAACTCCTTCCAATGGGCTGTAAGATGGTTAAGACCCTGAGTGATCTGTACACCTTGTCTTCTTGACCTGGCCTCCAATGCGCCTCCTAGTTGCTCACCCTGTTCCAGCCCTCCCAGGCTCCTGCTGTTTTTTGAATACACTGGGCATGCTCTTGCCATGGTCTTTTTCATTTGCTATTCCCTCTGCCTGGAACACTCATCCCCTCTTATCCCTCACCATCTCCAGCTCTTGACTCAGCTTTTTGGTGATGTCTTCCCTGACTACCCTTTTTATACTGCAGTGAAACCTCCCCTTTCTTTCTCCCTCCCAGCACACACTATTTCTCTTCTCTTGTTTAGTTTTCTTGATGACACTTACCATGTAACACATATACATACAAACATAAATATATTTATATATTTTGTCTGTCTCCCTGTATTTGAAAGTAAACTCCATAAGGGCAGGGATTTTCGTGTGCTTTATTCACTGCTAATCCTAAACACCTAACCAATATTCTAGAGTATATAACTAATAACTCATTGACTGAGTGAAATAAATTATCTTCCTTATTTCTAGAAGCTCATGATTAAGAGAAGATATACAAACAAAATGCTACATATTAAAAAAAATTATAAAAGAAAAAACACAGTCTCACACACATATAAAGTGATCTTTACCATTTGGGAGTTGTGTAGCCATGGCGAGTTAGCAGAGGGCTT